TTTGGTGTCCCATGGGACCCGAGAGTCCAGGAAGGGCTCAGGACCCAGAGGGTCATCGGGAAGTCTGTCAGCTCTGACCAAAGCTTCTGCAGAATCTTCTCTGCCCCAGGTTTCTGCAGGCTGGCTTCTCCACTTACACAGCAGTCTGAGGACAGTCCTGCACAGGCTTGACTTTATATTTTCCTTGTTAAGGGACCAGCCAGATTGAATGTATTAAGATTGTTTTTCTTCTACAGGGGACCAGAAAAAAAAAGTAGCTCAAAGGGCTTAAGCTAATTAGGGAATTTAACAGCTCATATAACAGAAAATTCTAGGACAGCTGGATCCAGGTGGTCAAAGGGCACCATCAGAAGCAGCCTTTCCCTTCACTAGGGCCACATTGTCTACATTCCCTGCTGGTAGTGTCCTCTTGGGACAAAAGACCAATAGGACCTCCAGGTTTCTCTCCTTTCCCAACAAAGCTGGGCTCTGGTCAAGCTTAGTGTTGGTCACATGTTTACTTCTAAATCACTTATAGCCCAAAGGGAGGAATGTGCTTATTTGGCCAGGCCTGAGACATGTGCCTGTTATGGAGCTTGAGTTGAGGTTAGCCTACTCCAAATATAAAACAGTAACAGCACATTTTTATAGAGTTCACTGTGTTTTGGATCAGTTCTAAGCAGGCAACTCATTTTAACCTCAGGTTATTATTATTTTTTTTTTTTGTTAACTAATTTAATCATGATGTTATCCTTATTTGATACACAGAGAAACTGAGACACAAACCCTCACAGATAACCAGTCTCCAACTTACAATGTGCAAACACAACATGCGCTCAGAGGAAACTGTATTTTGAAGTTTGAATTTGTATCTTTTTCGGTGCTAGTGATGATATGCACAGTATGATCCTCCCTCAGGACGCTGGTCAGAGCATCAAGCTGCAGCCTCAAGCCAGCCACTTGATCATGAGAGGAAACAACTTACTCTGTAGTGTTCTGTGTTGCTAAACTATGATACTTATTAGGTTAGGTGTATTCAATGTGTTTTCAATTTGTGATGGGTTTATCAGCATGTAATTACTTTGTAAGTCATGGAGCATTTGTAAATTGCAGAGCTAGAAGTTGACCCAGAACTTGGACACCAGAAACTGGGGTCCTAAACATTAGCAGAAGGGAACTTCTGCCAGGAAATTGGGAGATAGATGCTGGGCAGGTAAAAACAACAGATGTCTAACAGTCACTCTGGATTCTTGTTCCATAGAGAAGCATTTACCCAGCCCAGGGTTGGATAACCACCCTGGTGGGGTTCAGGAGAGGATGGAGGGATCAAGTTGTACCAAGGTGTTTGCTTCTACTGTGACCCTGAACATGGACTAGTTTCAGAAAATAGAAGGGAGGAAAGAACAAGTGTCCTTCTATTGTTATTGTAGGGAATTTTAGTCATGCAAGTAAAAAAGGTATATGGGGGAGGGAACTTATAATTGTGTCTATGAAACAAGCTGAGTAGACAGATTAACAGGAGAGAAAGCATACGGATTTGTCGCACACATGGGGGATTCATATGAAAGAAAAGTGAATATCTCCCAAGCCCAGTGAGATCTGGTAGCTTATATAGCATCCTGGACTACTGAAAGCAATAGGGGCAAGAGGCTTATTGGGGACAGTAGCGATGACAAGCTATGCGAGGGAGAGGGGAAGAATTGTACAGCGTGTAAAAGTTGTCTTGGTGTGCACATAACACTTCTCAGTTAATGAAGGTTGCCTCAAGGACGACTTGTCAGAAGAATAGGTGCTAGCCCATAGTGGCAGCCCATCTGGGCAAGGTAATGACCCATGGGTTGTCTTTTCCTCTGATGTTATCTTCCCTGGTTGATGACTCTCCCAGGGGAGAAGATCCATGTCAATTGGTTTTCTTTTTGGAGGATCTCTGGAAGAACCAAAGAGATGAGGGAGGTTCAAAGAAAGCCTGGTTAGCATCTATTGATCATCCCTGCCACCCCACCCCACCCCCACCCCCACCATCACCATCCCAAGGCCTCACAATTCCTGTGACATTTCCAAACTCCTTTACTGTCACCAAAGGTCTCTGGGGTTATTTATATTCTAGCCCATCCTAAATTCTGCTCCCCACAGGGATGGAGTGATTGTGAAAGACTTCAGCAATCTGAAGGTGCACAGGGAATCCACAGAGCTGGAGGGCATGCCCAAGCTTGGCTCCTTTTTGGCTATAAAGGTCCAAGAGAGGGCCAGAGAAAGGAGCCCAGCTCTGCTTTTTCTAAAGAAAAGGCATAATTCTAACTTGGTATTATGATTAAGCTGCACTTTGGAGTCACTCACAGATAATGTGAAAAAGTAAATCTACCTTTCTGGCACATGCTGATGGGGGAGGTGGGTGGGCAGTTAGATGGAGGGCAATGAAGGAAGTCTTTATGAGCAAGGCAGACCTCCAAAGATAAAAGTACCTACTTTGCTGAATAGCCAAACATCCATACTAAAAAAAATTCTACCTAATTTTTTAATGTCATGGCTTGTTCATACCTGTGTTCTGATAGCTTCTAAGTAATACTGTAATAACATCCAAATTTCAGTCATTACAAAAGACGTTTATCTCTCATGTTTCTAGTCTTGTTCCAACTGGGGACCCTGGTGCAAAGGGCTTCCTAACTTGAGACCTGTAGTCCTGAAACAGAAGCAGAATAGCAACAGCACAGCATAAGAGGTACCCACTGCTCCTGCTTATGGGTGGCAAATGCCACTCCCATTTTGTTGGCCAGAGGAAGTCATATGGCCAGGCTTGACCTCAATAGGGTGGAGAGACATTCTTCCCTCCGGAAGGGATTGGCCTGTGAAAGGCTGAGTATTGTAAGTAATATGTAATCTACCACACACCGTTTTTTTTTTTTGTTTTTTTTTTTTTAAGGATTACAATGTTATTTTCAAATATTCACAAGGAGCCACTGGTTGTTTTGGTTTGTTTAGATAGAAACAGAGCTCTGTTTAATGTCTACACTGCTGTACAAGTTGCATATGTTCTCAATTGTGTGTATGCACACACTTCCTGAGCCAGTTGGTACCAATTACAACATTGGGAAGGGCTAAATGACTTTCTTGTCTATTGCCTTTGAGAAAAAGTGAACAACATCTTTGTAGACAAATTGTAGGTAAATGTAGTGAGGCAAATAGCCTATGTTAGTAGAGTGCTGAAGAGGTGGGGAAGGTGATTTAAAGTCACATATATGACTTGAGTAGAAAAGATGGAGAACAGGGAGAAGGAATGGCAAAGGGGGCAAACCCTCTGTGCCAGGCTTTAGCTAGAACGAGGAACCTGAGACCTAGCATTTAGTAATTACTCAAGGCCATCCCATTTAAAGTGTCAGAGGCAGAATTTAAATTTTCAAGGTTTCTCTGGCTCCAAAGTCCATACTTTCTCATTCCTTTAGTGCTTGCTCTCTAAAGAGATAAGAGAAAAAGAGGGGAAGAAATGGATTTTTCTTTGTTTTTTCGATTAACATGTAATAATTGTACATAATAATGGAGAATAGTGTGATATTTCAACACATGCACATAGCGTGCACTGATATATCAGGGTAATTAGCATTTCCCTCTCTTTGTGGAAAGGGAGGTTTTAAAAAAAGGAAAAGAAAAAAATCGAGAGGCAGAAGCAACCCAAAGTCGTAGAGGGCGTAAGAGAGGATATACGAAAAGAAAAACGGAGAGTGTGAGAAGTCCACAAAAGAAACAAATAAAGAGGGGAAAGGCTCTCACTGGTGGTCTTCAAAGTTCACGCAAGTCACCTTGGGAATCTGAAGAGGCCGGGACGCCCCCTGCCGGCTGGGAGAAGCGAGGACCCCGAGCGGCTCAGGCCACGCCCGAGGCTGGCACCCACCGTAAGCCGGGTTCCTGCGAGAGCTTTTAGAAATATCAAGTGGCATTCAGGTGGCGGGGTCCGGGTTGCGGGGGTTTGCTCCAGTTCATTCTAACGTGTAGCCCCGGCTAAGAACCATCGGGAAGGAGTTGGCCGGGTAGGGTGGGTGGGTGGGTGGGTGGGGGGGGGAAGGAAATCTTCAAGAGGATGCTGGTCCCCGCGCGGTCACACTCGCATGTGCTCACTTCGATCCGGCTCTCTCCCGAGGCCTGCGGACTGGGTGCCGCTGGATTTCCCGGAGGAGGAACACCAGGGATCACAATTTGCACCAACTGCCTGGATCAGGGTCTAGGGCCTCCGCCGCCGCGCCCACCCGACCCATTTTTAAATACAGACCTGGGTGCCACGTGCCCACTCCTTGTTAGCGCTTTAGTTAAGAAGTGCTTGGCAAGACCAGCAGAGAAAGGGGACCACGTGGAGCGAAGAGGGGTGGGAAAAGGAAAGTACTGGGGATTGAAATGAAGCAAATTATAGGCATCTGTGAGTGTCAAAAAATGAACCCCACTGTTAGATGTATAGCTACACTGCGCTAATAAAAACGAAAATATTCAAAAAGTGTTTTGAGACTTTTCCACTTATTGCCACCCAGTGGGCGATTATGCCTCTTTGGACCCCATTTAGGAGACGCGGGACGCATTCTTCAACTTTCTCTTTCACCGCTAAACTGGACGCCTTTAAAAATAAAAACCAAAAGAGCCAAACGGACAAGCGAGAATCGGCCTAAGAGCAGATCCGGAGCAAGGCTTCCCTCTCGCTGTCACCAGATCACTCAGGCTCTCGGAGCAGCACCCTCCAACTGCTCAGCATCTCGTCTTCTCGCCTTTCCCCCTCATCCCTCTTCTCCCCCGCCCCTCTCCTTCCCTCTTTTGCACCCACCCCTTTTCCTACCCTCCCTCCCCCACTCCTGCTTCTCTCTACCCAGTTACCCCCGATCTCCTGGGCTAACTAAATTACGGCACCCAAATACTTAAAGCGAGGAAGCCGGGATTGGGCCCCCGCCCCGCAGCGCCTCCTCCACGCCCCGCCCCCAGGCTCCCAGCGCCGCGGGGTGGTAACACCTGCCCAGGGAAGGGAGGGGGTGAGGAGCGCCGGAAACGCGTGTCTGGAGGACGGGGACCCGCCTCCGACCGCCTCTCGACTCTGGGGCTTTTTAAGGCCAGTCCTCTCCGCAGCCAACCCCGGCGGGGAAAACGTAGCGCGCATGCGGCGCCGGGCACCCTCCAGATAGTAAGTACCCGCGTGGCTGCGCCCCCCGGGCTGGGTGTCCCGTGAGCCCCGCTGCGGGGCGGCCTCAGACTTCTGTGGCCTCTACCCGGAAGCTCCCAGAGCCCCAGGGTGCAGCCGGCTCCCCGCGCGGCCGGGGGATCCCAGAGGGCCCTGTGGAGCACCCCTCGTCTCCCATTCCCACCCGTGACTTATTCCCGGAGCTCTCGGCCCAGGGGCCGGAAGGGGCACCTGCCAGTCCTTTTCGGGGCGGGCGGGGGCAGGTTTAGGTAAGGGACTTAGTGGAGGCCTCCGAGCCACCCCACAGCCGCGCTCTGCTGGCGAGCGACTCGGAACCCCTAGTGTGGTTGCCTTCCAGTCTCCAGAAGATGGTACAGTGTCCACCGCATAAATCCGGCTGTTGTTCAAACCGTTAACATTCAGTTCCATTATTATCACTATTGAACCTAGTGGTTTAGACCGGAGGACCAAAATAATAACACCCACCCCCTCCCCCCAGCCAAAAAAGCAGCAAACCCGAGGCTGGTTGCAGCCGCAGTGGAGTGCAGTGCAGGCAGTTTGGGGTCCCTGAGCAGTCACCAATGCTTGGTGCACTGTTACGCAGCTCCGAATATGCGCAATGGTAACAGTGGAACTGTAGGGCATCCTATGGGTGTTGGAATACTCAAGGACTTTTTGCTCAAAGATATCCATTGGCACGATTTCAGAGCCACGTCTTACCTCCCGTAGGACTGAAAGGAAGAGTCATGCTAAAGGAATTAGACGGGCTTCAGCTCATTTCTTCTTCTTTTGAAGTTATAAATAAACTTAACAATCATTTGGAGTTACTTAAAAGATAATGCAATTTCTGCCCAGAATGTCACACAGGATACTTTTGCACGACAGGTCTCAGCAGAAGCGTGGTTAGACAAAATGGCCCTGGTGCCCTATGAGGAGACCAGGGGAATGGGGCTCCAGAAATTCCACCAGCCTCTTGCCACTTTCTCCTTTGCAAACCACACGATCCAAATCCGGCAGGACTGGAGGCAGCTTGGAGTCGCAGCAGTTGTTTGGGATKCGGTAAGCAAGCCCCAGAGGGTCTCTGAAAACATCCTCAGTTATTTGAAAAGAAAAATACCATTATTGAGATACAATTCAGGTACCATGCACTTCATTCACTTCATTACACAAATTCATTTTTTTTTTTTTAGTATATTCAGAGTAGTGCAGCCATTACCACTTTAATTTTAAAACATTTTCATCACCCCAAAGCCCCTTCCCCTTACCAGTCATTCCCTTTATCCCCCACCTCCCCAATTACATTGCATTTTAATGGYGGTTAACTGAAAACAGAGGGGAGTGAAATGGCTTGCCAGTAATTACCCAGTGAGTAACAGAAGTCTGAAGTCCTGACTGCTTTGGACGCTCACTGAGTTCTCTTTCTAAAACACTGCACCAAAGAATACATAAAGTGACAAAGCCCGAAATGAACATCATGTTTCATCTTTAAGTTTTCCATAGCTGTAAAATAATAACTGCTTTTCTACTTTTTCCTCTTTAAACACTGTTCGCTTTGCTTGAGAATGGTGGCTTGTGACTCAGCCCCCTAGTGTGTGTGTAGCCCCCTAGTTATTCCTGTTGAATAACTGGCCTAAATACCGTTCTACAGTCTTAACATTGTCTTAGGGCTGTTAAAGAAACATTAAGAAATAATAATATTAATCTGACCTGGTAATACCACTTCTGGGAATCTACTTCTGAATAACTGCATGAAACTATTCCCATAATTAGTACCAATGATAAATAATAACAAGAAATAGGATGCCTCCTATAAGCTGACTGAGGAGAAGAATTGCCAATTTACTCCTAGTACATGGCTATGAAAAACAAACTTTAGTAAAAATTTATATTAACACTATACCATTTTTTCTATAGGATTATAAGTAAATGCTAACTTACACAAGTTCCAAAATTTACCTTCTGATGCCCAAAACATGTGGTGACGGCCCCTGTGGGGTTATGAGAGTCAGGGATGCAGTTCAGGGAGCCTTGGGCACTGTGCTGCTTTTTCCTTCTAGGTGAAGTGTGGCCTTGCTGACCTGGCTTGGCTTAGGAATTGGACATGCCTTAAATAAGACTGTTATGTCAGTTCTTTAGAACGGTTTTCTAAGTCTCAGTGTGAAAATRCTGTGACAATAAAAAATTTAAGCTTCACAGATTCAGCATGCTCCTAGCTAGCTGTGCAGCCCCCTGTTGGGGTGCTGGGTCTGCTGTGTGTGTGCCTCTGTAGGAGGTCACCTCATAGCAGCAGTGGCTAATTTCCTGTGCACATTAGTGGACTGGGCAGTGTGGGGCTGGGGAGAGGGGTGCACATGCAATCTCTTCCTGCCAGTAGCACATAGGCATCCTGACCCCACAGCTCCTAAAGCACTTGTTGACCTTAATCATACTCGCACTGTGTTTTGACTCAGGCTGTTGTCCTTTCCACGTTCCTGGAGATGGGCGCTGTGGAGCTCAGGGACTGCTCTGCCGTGGAGCTGGGTGCTGGCACAGGGCTGGTGGGCATAGTAGCTGCCCTGCTGGGTGAGTGTGATGCACTGCTTACTGCATGGTGAGCAGAACTCCCTGAGAGCTGCGTTTGCTGTTTTCTTCACATAATATCCATTGTTTTTTCCCCCCTTCCTGGGTTAATTTCTTTTGCCTGCACATGTCTGAGTTGTGGGCCAACTGCTGATGTTCATAGTAACTCCAGAGGCTAACAGGCTATTCTACTTTTCACAGAAGATCACTTTGCCTCCTTTACTTCCATGTTGCTGATAGTATGATCTTAAGGTGATTTGATTTCAAGAAGAATAGTCTCATCTTTGTATCTAGGTTTCCAGTTTAAGGTGCTTAAATCCATATGCTATTRGATATAATCCTGTGTTTTAATCAGCTATTTTGCTGCTATAAATAAAAGACCTGACAAGAACAATTTTGGAAGAGGAAAAGTTTATTTAGGGGCTCATGGTTAGTTGATGACCAGCTCCATTACTCTGGGCCCAAGGTGAGGCAGAAAATCATAGCGGAAGAGTGTGGTRGAGGGAAGTGGCTCAATACATCACGTCAGGTAGTGCAGAGAGAGAGAGCTCTGCTCATCAGACAAAATATGTACCCTAAAGGTATGCCCCTGAATGACCCACCTCCTCCAGTCACACTCCACTGGCCTACAGTTACCAACCAGCCAGTTAATCCCTGTCAGGGGATGGATTCACTGACTGGGTTTTAGATTCTCGTGACCTAATCATTTCACCTCTAAATCTTTTTGCATTATCTCACATATGAGCTTTTGGGGCTACACCTAATATCTAAACAATAACACCCTGTGAGGTTGGTGGCGCATCAGACAGTCTCTCCTTCATCTAAGGGAACTGAGGGTTTTTTTTCTTCTTGGGAGTATCAGTCCCTCCAAAGTTTGTACAGACATCTGTTTTAAGAAATTGAATTACTGGTGTACAGTTTTGAATTGATAGCTGTGTTATTTTTTTGTTTGGTATACAGACATTAGTTTAAGCTTAGAGCATTTTTAAGCTTTATTAATATTTTTTAAAAGTTTGCTGTTGACTTTTTTCTACAACTTGTACAGTTGAAGCTATTCAATGATGAGAATAGACCAGCTGCTAAGATTATCACATATCGTATTTACTAACCGGAATTGTCAGCTGGGGCACTTGTTCCAATGTGGTTTCTGACTCAGAAGGTCTGGAGCAGGGCCTGAGAGCCTGCACTTCTAACGAATTCCCAGTGATAATGATAACCTGCTAGATTTCAGACCATACTTGGTGGGAATGATCTGTGTTTTGAGAGCACTATCTGCAGGTATCCAGGTCCTGCTAAAACCCCTCTTTTGTTCTGTCTTTTTGCTGGTAACTCATTTCTTTTTCAGTATTGCTTTTTCTGCTTGCGTATCTTTTCCCAAAATCTGATGGGGAGCTTGGGCAAGGTTAAAAGTAGACATCAGTTGATTGAGGCCCCTTTCTGTTTTGAACCATGGCCCTCTGTGCTYGATGAGGCCTTTCATGGTCCTCTGCTTTTATTTTCCTAGGTAGGCCTTATAATGTCCCCAGGTATGTTTGGTATTATTTTTAATTTTTCATTTTTCAAATGAAACACATTCTGGGCCTGAGGCACTTTCTGAAGTTCCAATTAGTGATGATCTGGGACTCAAAACGAGGCTTAATAGACACAGCAGCCCAAGTTGTTGTTTTTCTGTGTTAGTAACTTTTCTCCCTGCTGATAAGAGTTCACTTGAAGATGAAATGAGGTTTCTTCTGTTTTCTCCTGAGAACCAGGACCTTGGTGGTAAACTGCACAGTTTAGTTGTACTTGGTTTTGACACCTCTTTTTAACTCTTTGTGACTTGAGGCAAGTTGCTTAATCTCTTAATGTTAATTTCCTCATCTGTAAAATGAGGTTAATAAGAAAGAGTATTTACTTCACAATGAGGATCCACAGAGATTGTGCATGGAATTTGTTAGCTCACTGATACAAGTGAAATACCACGTGTCAATTGTTCTTCTGAGTATTTATTTTTCTAATCTAGAAATCTGGATCTGTGGGGCTGGGAAAGTTAGGAATAAGGTATTTTAGTTCTGTTACAGAGCAAAGGATTAGTTAGTTGTTGCCACAAGGACTTGGTTGGTTCTGAGAGTGAGCTGGAAGGGCAGAACAGCGTACTTATTCTGTTGATTTGGAGATGCGTGCTTCGTAGCCCCACTTCATTCTCACCTCTTGAAGTTCTTTCCTGCCCTATCCCAGAGAATTCATTGCTGCCTTATTTCTTTTCCCTGTATGTAGGCAGTTGTTTCATATATCTGTCTCTGGTAGGCTGAGGCTCTTGAGGAATGGGACCACATCTCAGTCTGGGTGTCTTTGGCCCTAGTATAGCACGCATTGCTCAGTAGATGCTCAAATAATTCTGGAATAAGAGATGGAAAAAACTAGTTTGAAGGCTTTTTGAAAATGAGGAAAGTTAATGTTTTCATTATAGAACTAGATGTAATTCTATTACAAAAATAATTCTTCATCACTCCACAACATAATTACCTTTAGCATTTTGGTATATTTATTCCATTCTTTTCCTCCATCTGTGTTTTTAATTATGATTTTATATATATGTGTAATGTCTGCACACGTGTATATATCTGCATACATACATATGCATATACAAATGATAGTTAATTTACCATTACATCACAAGCATTTCTCTTTAATGCTAAGTGATTTTCATACTGACTATTTGTAATCACTGCAAGTGTTAGGCTAGAAAAATTTTGATGTTCAAACCTGAGGTAAGAAAAAATCATCTTTTAAAAATGGAGTCAGTGGTTGTTTCAGTCAGCTTTTTTACTGCTGTGACCAAAAGACCTGACAAGAACTATTAGAGGAAAAGTTTACTTGCAGGCTCACAGTTTCTAAGGCCTCAGTCCACAGACAGCTGCTCCATTCCTCAGGGCTTGAGGTGACGCAGAAATCAAGGTGGAAGAGTGCTGTGGAGAAGAGTAATTCACATGATGACCAGGAAGCAGAAAGAGGCTCCACTAGCCAGATACAAAATATATACCCTAAAGGCACACCCCCCAATGACCCATCTCTTCCAGCCTTTAGTTATCTGCCTTTAGTTACCACTCAGTTAATGCCATCAGGGGATTACTTCACCGACTGGGTTAAGGCTTTCAACCCAAACATTTCCCCTCTAAGCCTTCTCACACAGGACCTTTTAGGGGACACCTCACATACAAACCATACCAGTGGATTTAAAAAAAAAAAAAAAAAAAAAGGATGGTAATTTTGAAACATCTCAAAGGAATTGATTGTTCCCCTTTGAAAAATATTTTCACATTAGCTGATCCAGGGTCTGCATAGTGAAAAAAAAAAAAGTGGTGGTGGGGGTGTGTTTTCATTTTTTGTAATCTTCGTCATTTATTTCTGAATTCAGAGAGCACCTACCAAGTGCCTGGTGGAATCAGTGTGGATCGAGCAGGGGCCAGGCAGGTAGAAATAAAGTCTTGGGAAGCTTATGTTCTGAGTCGATGGGTGGGTGGGTAAAGGGAGATAGAGAGAAATTGACATTAAAAAGCCCCACTCTCACAACAGTAAGTGTTCTACAGAATGTTAATATAGAGCTGCTGATCACTGAGCACTTTCTGTGTTCTGAGAGGGGCTATGTGTCTGCAGTCTCATTCTCACAGTCGGCCTACATGGTAAATATGCCTGACCCATTTATAGTAATGTTCAAGTGTGAAAATGAAGGGTTAACAGAGAGTAGGTAACTTGCCCAAGGTCACAAAGTTAATAGATTGTGGTTAGAATTAGAATCTGGTTCTGACTCTCAAATCCTGGTTTAGTTTGAAAGTTTTCCCAACCGTTATGCTACTTGGAAACTACTTATAGAAGAATATCTCATATGAGTTAGGTTGGGGTCAGGGAATCTGGATTTTAGAAGCTTCTAGGTGATTTGACKCCTGACTAGGCTTAGGAGCCACTGTCTAACAATACAACACTTAGGAAGAATTTGCCTTTATTTTTCTGATTCCAGTTCACATCTACACTGACTGTTTGACTTGCACATGTAACTTAAAGCTGGATCTCTCTACTTGACTAATTTCCAGCACCACATGCTAACTCCTGATGCTTCTCCCCTTCCCAAATATATTCTTTCTCCTCTGTTGTGAGTTGGCATCACTGTCCCTCACCTAGTTCTCTTGAACTTGCAGATTCTGTCTTTTAACTCTTCCTCCAATTACCCCACATTCCACTCCCCATGCCTGGCTTGAGCTCTCGTTATCTGTCTCCCACATGATCATACAGCCCTCCCACCTGGCCTTTCTGCCTCTGCGGTGGGTCTCCTCAGACCCACTCTCACAACAGCTGTCAGAGTGTTCTATCTGAAAGGTGAAATTGATGGGGTGGCCTGTGTTTAAATGTTTCTTTGCCTTCCCATGGCCAGTCTGCAGGCCAGATGCCAGGCCTCCCAACAAAGCTTTGCAATCTTGTCGGTCTCTCTCATGCTTTGAGACATTCCTGGGACACACACACTGCTCTGGCCTGTGCCTTTTGTCCCRAATATGCTTTCTTCACTCTTTTCCCTGGTTCATGCTGTATCTTAAGTGTAAGTGCAGGTTTCCCTTCCTTCAGGAATATTCCTTTGGTCCCTGCTCCTTTTGAAGAATTTCTCCTTTGTGACACATGATTTCCTGTGTGCACCCATATTCCTTTATTTTCCTTCTCACACTTATATTTACTTATATCCCTCATGCGGCTCTGAGCTCATGAGCTCATTTCTTGCTCATCTTTTTGGCACATAGTATGTGCTTGAATGTTTGAATAAATGTTGCTTACAAAACTAGGATTAATGATGTCTGTTTTTTTGTTTTTTTTTTAATTTCTAAGTGAATGACAGCCTGCTGTGTTGTCTTATGGAGTTCATTTCCCCTCCTTGCCCAGTGTAAATCTCTTGGGCAGTCATGTTGCCCCCATCTTCACTTATCACTGATACCAGTTCCTTGCTTCATCTTACTCTCCAGGCTAAAGAAACCCAGGTCAGATGCTTTCCCTGTTCCAGGCCTGGTAAGTGCATGTGCGTATGGCAGCAGCAGTGCTCTGCTGGCTTTCACTTTAAATTCAGATCAGAAACCTCAGAGGGGTTCTGTTTTCCATACCTTTTTTATTGGTGAATTATAATTATGCATTAATGGTAGGACTCGTTGTTACATCAAGGGGGGCCTTGACTCCTGGACAGTCATACTCTGCTTCCTGTCTTGCTCTGCTAACTGACTCTTTCATGATTTTGCTCTCAAGCCTCCATTCTTTCTTTCTCTATTCTCACCCTTAGCCAATGACATTTCTGCTTTCACAGGGGAGACTGAAGCTATCTGAAGAGAATTTCCACCCACCCCCACCCCTGCCCCACTGCCTCTAACCACACCAGTGTCTGGTGGACCACCATCTCTGCCTTTCTTCCTGAGGTTGTAGTTGAATGTCCTTTTTAGGGCCAGTGACCTCTCTGTGCCTCAGATCCTGCCCACTCTCACCTACTCAGTGACATTGTCCCTGCATTGCTGCTTTTCTGCCCTTCTACCCAATCATTTCCATCAGCATATAAACTTGCTGTTACTTCTCCCATCTTTTCAAAACAAGAAATACAAACCTAAGTGCCTGGTTGTAGGTCTGTAGCAGGGAAAGCATTAAATGACCCTGGAATATCTTGCCATACCAGATAGCAAGGAAGCTTTCAAAGATGACCACGGTTGTGTCAGATCAGAGGCCACGAGCAAAAAATGGCTCGATTTGAACATCAATAATAATAATTTCAATAGATTAAAGTATGTCAAATATGTTTAATTCATGAGTTTACAGCAACAAAATGAACCTAGGTATCTTTGGAGAACCAGCTTTTTATTTCAAAATAGGGTTTATTAAAGGGGATGGAGAAGCAAAATGTATCCTGCCTGTCCTATTCAGACAGTTGATATACAAAATGAGTAGCCATTTCTCTTTATAGAATGTTCTTAACAAATGCAAAAAGAATAATAATGAACTGGGGATTTGGGCACTAAGCACCAGTGGCTTCTCATGTCATAAAAACGGAGTCTACCAGACACAGCATACCTCTTGATAAAAAACACACTGCTATCTCTGAAATAGTCCCATTAAAAAAAGACAAAAACAACAACAAMAAAAAACCCAAATTTGTAGGAGATGCAGAGGACAGAGTCCAAACAAATGATGCTGTCTGCAAAATTCAGACTACGGGAAACTACAGGACAAGTGATCTGTTTCTTCCTTAAACTGCAAGGGAAAAAAGGATGAAAAGGAAGCTAATATTCAGAAGATAGACTCAAGATGTCCTCCACACCTCCCTCCCCAACCAGGCAGAAAAGAAAAAAACCATGGACAAAGTTGTAACATGTAGGGAAAGACACTTGGGTGATAAAACCTGAGTCAACAGTAAAAGACAGGGGCTCGGGATGTGGCTCAAGCGGTAGCGCGCTCGCCTGGCATGCGTGCGGCCCAGGTTTGATCCTCAGCACCACATACAAACAATGATGTTGTGTCTGCCGAAAACTAAAAAATAAAAATATTCTCTCTCTCAAAAAAAAAAAAAAAAAAACCAAACAACAACAACAAAACAGTAAAAGACAGATTCCGAGGAAAGCTGGTGTGGCACTGAAGGGTGGGCTGCATTTGGGAGCTGGCCAGACCGGTGTGTGAGGGTGGTTTCAGCAATGTGCAAGCTACTGGCATCCTTTACTTAGACCACTGGGGGGGTCTTCACTGGTTTTCTTGCTACTGGCCTTGCTACTGCCAGACATTCTGTTAAACCCAAGACATACCATTTGTACCTCTGCTCAGCACTTTCCAGTAGCTTTCTGTCTCACTCAGTGAAAATCAAAGTCTTTTTTAAAAAGTTTTTTTTGGGGGGGTACCTAGGATTGGACTCAGGCACTCAACCACTGAGCCACATCCCCAGCCCTATTTTGTATTTTATTTAGAGACAGAGTCTCATCGAGTAGCTTAGTGCCTCGCTTTGGCTGAGGCTGGCTTTGAACTTGGGATCCTCCTGCCTCAGCCTCCCGAGCCGCTGGGGTTACAGGCCTGTGCTACTGCTCTGGGCTGAGAAAACTGAAGTCTTTTTGAAACATGGCTAATGAGGCCATACATGGTTGTCCACCTTCCCCATGACTTCCCTGACCTCATCTCCTCCGACTTTGTCCCTTATTACTTTGTTCCAGCCATACTGATCTCCTTGCTTGCCTGCACACTCTTGAGTTTTTGCACTCGTTCTTCYGCCTGCCAGAAATGTTATTCCCCCTGATATGCTCTTGATTATCCCCACACACCTTCAGGTCTTCCCAGGTCACCTCAGTCAGGCATTCCCTCTACCCAATCTAGAATTCCACACCTGCCTCCCTTACTTCCTGACATTTCATGTCTCTTCTGGCTTTGTTTTTTCCTTATCTTATATCAACAACAAACAGATATTATACCTTAAAATAACCATAGTGCTTATCTCCTCACTTGAACGTAAGCTCTGTGAGGGTAGGATTTTTGTTATCTAGCTGATGGTAGCACTTAGCTATTTGTAGAACTCTCTCAGGATGTTATGGGAAATAGTCAACTGACATTCAGATCATATTCAAACTTCTGGAATACCTAGTTGGGCAGAAGTAGCCTCCAAAACCCTCAAGATAGGCATTAGAGATGCTGTTAAAATGGATACAGAAGTGATGTTGAAAAGACTAGATCATTCTATTATTGCTAAGAGAGTTGGGCATGGTGACACATGCCTGTAGTCCTAGCTCCTTCCAGGCTGAGACAGGAGGATGGCTTGAGGCCAGCTTTGACAACATGGTGAGAGAATGAAAGAAAAAGAAATCCAGAGATAAAATCCTAAGTCAAACCAGGAGTCTGTCTATAGTTTGCATTATTGGAAGAAAAGAAAACTATCATTGAATCCTGCTCCTCAGGGAGCTCACTCTCTAGCCAAGTGTAGTAGTTCCAGGCTGGTGAAATCTAATAGCATGAAAATTTTCATTGTATCATGCTCTAGAACTACAAATATCAAATGTTATGTGTCAAGATAAGAAATCCTGGGTAAAAGCCACCACTGGAGTGGTGCTGAACATTGCTGGTCTGGAACTTAAATGAAATCTTAAACAGAAAAAGGTGCAAATTAGAAATACTTTCATGAAAGAATGAAACATTTTTAAATTTCAGAATTGCAGGGGCCAAAACTAAACAGGATTTTCATTTCTGTAGATGGTGTTGTATTAGGGCTGTTGTTGTTTCACTTCAAGGGTAACTACAGTTCAGGTTTTCTCTTTCATTGACTAAAAAAATTAGATCTTACAGTTCATTGTCAATACACCCCCCCACACACACACACAAAACAAGAACATTAATAAAATACTGCACCTTAATTTTCTATACCATATCTAGTACCTTAGCAGTTAACACAAGCTGGCATTTTAACTTAGATCTTAGATTGCTTTACTACTATACAGTAATTCTTTTTTTTTTTAAACAGGGAGAGAAATAATTTTTAATATTTATTTATTTATTTTTTTAGTTTTCGGCGGACACAACATCTTTGTTTGTATGTGGTGCTGAGGATCGAACCCGGGCCGCACGCATGCCAGGCGAGCACGCTACCGCTTGAGCCACATCCCCAACCCTACAGTAATTCTTAAATTTAAGAATTTTCAATAATTGAAGATGATTATGYAAATACATACGGGTTGGCTGCTTTAAACAACATTAAGAAAGATGGACTGGGGTTTCTCAGTATCACTTCTGTGTTGTTTTAAAAAGTTTAACCTCACAAAACAGCCTTTCCCCATTTTTGGGATCTCGTCATCTTTGTAATAATATTCTGCTCCCAGACTTTTCATTTTTGGATTACATTTTACCATGAGGTCTGCTATCCTGAGTTCATGAAGCAGAAGAAACCTATGAAGGGTGAGCTAGCTGTGTTTGCAGCATTCAAAAACATCAGCTTTCTTTTCACTTGGTGACTCTGTAATTTATAGGCCTAACTTCAGCAATAGCAGTTGTGTCATAGGGGCAAGTCAAAGGTTTACTTTTACCAGTYGGCAGTGCAAAAGGAGCAACCAGTTGCTGTTCTGATCCGTTGCAACTCTCCACAAAGGGTGTGGTATTCTGCATGTCAGGTGGAATATTTATAGTGTTCTATGTTTTAACTTGACCCTTTCTCTCCTTCCTACAGTTGTACTGATATACACSTTGCTTTCTCTTTATCTCATATTATAGGTGCTCACGTGACTATCACGGATCGAAAAGTAGCACTAGAATTTCTTAAATCCAATGTTCAAGCCAACTTACCTCCCCATATCCAACCCAAAGCTGTTGTTAAGGAGCTGACTTGGGGACACAATTTGGGGAATTTTTCACCTGGAGAATTTGACCTGATACTTGGAGCTGACATCATATATTTAGAAGAGACATTCACAGATCTTCTTCAAACACTGGAACATCTCTCTAGCAACCACTCAGTGATACTTTTAGCTTGCCGAATTCGCTATGAACGAGATAACAACTTCTTAGCGATGCTGGAGAAGCGATTTACTGTGAGTAAGGCTCACTATGATCCTGAAAAAGATGTACATATTTATAAAGCACAGAAAAGAAACCCATGGGATGACTTATAATTGGCTACGCTTATAAGAATATTGTCATTGAGTGTGTCAGTTAAGGTCTTAGACTGGAAATCTAACCATACTTAAATGAAATGGTTGTTGTACACATCTCTCTAACCAAAGGTTGTCAAGGGACAAAGCACATAAGCAGTGCTTTGTTCTATTGCTGTGAGTTTAGTCCTGTCTTACTCTGAAATTCCATCAACATTAAAGGAAAGTGTGAGATTGTCATTTATGCTGTTTCTGTCTCCTGCATTGCTCCCTCTTGGTGAAGGGCTGGTATAAAGGTGACTTTAAACCAGCTGAGTTGTTTTTGGCAAGGTTAAATCATGTAGCTTATTTTAAACACATTCGGAGATTCATAATGTTTATTCCAGTTTTGTAATTTTTTGAGGTTTAACATACATTCCCTGGACTATTGTTGCTGTTGAAATCTTGTCCATTTAGATTCTAAGCACTTTTTTTGTCTGTTTGAAATTAAGTTGTGAGTTTTCTGCGTGGTCTCATATCTTGCTTTTTAGTTTAGTTTCARGCTTAGGAGTGTAAACAAAGGAATAAGTAAAAATAAAATCTTATTTATTTTTTGGAAGTACCTAAAGTCTTGAAAGATTTGGATGATACTGTGTACTTTGTATTTCAACTTCTCCGAATTGAAAGCTGTGGCTCCCCTTCACCTTTGCCATTTCTCATGCTTTTGTTTATTTATTTCTTAAGCTTTCCCTTTTCCTTGTGCTCTTATAATGCATAGGATGAAAGGTTAAAAGAAAAAAAAGTTTTAAATCTCATCCTTCCACAAGAAGGTAGCTTCTGTCTTGTACCTGCAATTGCTCATTCAATGTCAGTATTCCCTGAAAGGTGACAGCTTCTGGGGGGTCAGAAATATTTCTGCTTCTTTCATTGTTGCTTCCTCAGTATCTAGTATGTCACAACCAAATTAAGAGTATTGATCTTTGGATTATGTGTTTGCTACATTTGTTTTATGATTATCTTTGATAGACTTTATGGATGAAGTCACCATACATGAACTTTTGGCTTAAACAAATTTAGACCCACAAGACTATTATAATCTCAATATGGTATTTGGCACCAGAGGTAAATTCATTTTACAAAATATTATCAATCAGACCTCCTTCTTTTTAACCTTTTGATGAATATTTGGATATGAAAATACCCAAGAATATATTAGTATCTACATATATTTAAAATAAAGATTTTGCTTTAATAAAAGTGAATTCAAAGTTGTGGGTATTCTGTGATATACCAGTTCAACACAATTCTGATAAATACACATGAATGAAAATGTCCTAGCTCACTGAGTCTATACGATGCTAGCATACCATGAATAGGGATGTTCTCATTAAACAAATTTAAAGCCTGGCAATATCACCAATACTATAATGAAAACCCAATCTCATTTAGGTTTGATATTAGAAATGAATATATTGCAGTTCAGTTCCTTTAAGCTCTTTGGCATTGGAGGTAGGTATTAAAGTGGTAGGGGTAGGGAGCTTCAGGAAGTCCATACATTCCCTGGACTATTATTGCTGTATCAGGAAGGTACTTGGATGCTGTCCTAAGTGAGAAAGTGAGGTAAGATGTCATTGAATTATATATTACATTTTCATAAAATATTAACATGAGAATCAGAAAAGGTTGAAAAATCCCCTATCCTGCTCTACAAAGAGAACATGGAAGAAAAAAAAAATCAGCAGGAATAGTTTGATTGTCTGAGTGAAAATCAAGTGACTTTTCTTGGCTTTGGGTTTGAAATGTCATTGTAGGACAGGTTCCTTGGGGAAACAGACTGAGAGATGGAGATTAGGCTGTAGAAAGTTTAAATGGGAAGGCTCCCAAGATAAACACTCTTGAGAGAAAGAAGCCATGATTGGGATAGAGGGAGCATTTGGGCTGTGATGCAGTCAGGAAAGTCCTCAGCTCCTTCTTCAGAGCTGCAATAGCCCTGCAGTTAGACCWTATTGAGGCAAGGTGATGGGCCTTCATGCCCTAGTGTGGATTAGTTTGAATGGAAGGGGTACAACCCTGGGCTAAAGACAGTACCACTAGAGGGACAAAGTTGAGCCATCAGCCACCAACATCCCAAAAAGTCAGGGAAATGAGTCCTTTATAGGTGTATGTAGGAATGGAGGGAGGGAAAATGAATGAGTAGCATACTACAGTGTCCCACAAATGAAATTATCACATACCTTTTACTGTGTTAAAAAGTATTCATTTATCTGATAAATGTACACTATAAGTGTGCTTGTTTTTGTCCTCAAGTTAAAGATAAAAACCTAGTCCAAACCTATTTTATTAATAAACTTTGACTCTTGCATTGCTTAATTTCTTTRAACAATTGTGCTGTTAGGTAATCCAGTGTGTATCAGTAACTTTCCCCCCAATTAATGTCATATACTGCTGCCCAGATGCTATGTTAAAACATATTTATGGCACCAGATTCTTAGCACTCCACTGGAATGAATGCTGTTGTTTGTCTAAGCAGATTCCCTCTTAAGGATAGCTTGATTTAGTTATAACAGAGCTAGCCAGAGCCTTGCTATACCATTTGCAGGAAGTTTTTTCATACAAAAGGATCAAAATTCTAGCCCATCAAAATACTTACTTTCTCTAAACTGAACACTAGATTTTTTTCTTTTTAGGGCAAAATAATGTTTTCTGGAATGTTTTATCTTAGCAAATACAATTTATGGTCCCAGAAGACCAAGATGATGATACTGTGTACTTTGTATTTCAAGTGTTAACATAGTGCCCTGTTCATAAAGGGAACCCCATAAACACGCATGGAAAATAGATTCCTTCACAGTTAACTTATTAAATTACCCAATCTCTGTGCTTTATTTCTCCTTGCCCAAGGGAAGAAAAGTGGATTCTTGGGAATATTAAAATAACAAAGCATATGCTTTTAAAAAWTTTTTAATTAGTTATACATGACAGTAGAATGCATTTTGATACATAAATGGAGTGTAATTTCTTATTCTTCTAGTCGTACAAGAGGTGGAATTATACCGGTTGTATAGTCATATATGTATATAGGGTAATAATGCCCAGATTCATTCTACTATCCTCCTTACCCCCATACCCCTCCCCTTCACTCCCTTCTACCTTCTATCGGAAGTACCTCTATTCTTCCCTAGCTCCCCCCTCCCCACTTATTGTGAATTAGTATCTGCATATCATGATGAGAAAAATTCAGCCTTTGGTTTTTGGAATTGGCTTATTTTGCTTAGCATGATGTTCTCCAGCTCCATTGATTTACTTGCAAATGCCATAATTTTATTCTTCTTTAAGGCTAATATTGCATTGTGTATAATACCACATTTTCTTTATCTATTCATCTGTTGAAGGACACCTAGGATGGTTCTATAGTTTAGCTATTGTGAGACAAARCATACACTTAATAACAAAATTACATGAATTTTTATGTGAGTTAAAAAATTATTGGTGCAGGGCTGGGGATACAGCTCAGTTGGTAGAGTGCTTGCCTTGCATGCACAAGGCCCTGCACAATCCCCAGCACCGCCCCCCGCCACACACACAAAAAATATATATATATCAGTGCAATATAATTATAATAGGGGAATTTGTTATACCATATTAATACATGCATATAATTTGATCTATTTCCCAGTACCATTACTTTCCCTCCCTTATCCACTTGCTCTGCTTATCTTTTATTATTTCAATTAGTGCATTTACATTATATACAAATATATAAAAGCAGAATTCATTGTGGCATATTCATACATGTTCATAGCAGATTTTGTTCACTTTCATTCCCCAGTACTTCTCTATGTCCTCTCCCTGCTCTATTGGCAAAATCACATGAATTTGTATCTTAATTTTTCCKTTTTATGATACTGGGGATTGAACCCAGGGCTTGCTACATGCTATGCAAGCACTCTACCACACAGCTACAACCCTGGCACTGCCCCAGCTTTTGAGACAGGGTCTTACTACATTACCCAGGCTGAATGTGAACTTGTGATCCTCCTGCTTTAGTCTCCCAAGTAGCCTGGTAGCTGGGATTATAGGCCTGTGCCAGCCACAGTACATGGCTACACTATGGTGTTTTCTTCCCCCAGTACTGGGGACTGAACGCAGAGGTATTCTACAAACTTATGCACGTTCCCCACCATTTTTGATTCTTTGAGACAGGGTCTTATTAAATTGCCTAGGCTCCTGCCTCAGCTTTCCGAATTGCTGGGATTATAGGTGGATACCACTGCATCAGGCATACACAGTTAAGTGTTTTACAAGTGTAAGTATTACTTTAAAAAAGTTGTTAAAAAATGATAAAAAACAATATCCTTTGTTATTATCAAGAAAGGATATTATCAATTTGGCAGAATTGGAGAAAATATTATAAGGGTCTAATATACAGAATATATAAGAAATTCTAATAAGAAAATAACTCAGTTAAAAAACAAGCAAAGGACTTGAATAGGCATTTTCCCAAAGATATGTAAACAATTAAACAAAAACATGCTTGACATCACTAGTCATTAGGGAAATGCAAATAAAAACCATGAGTCCATTCACATGAGAGTGGTCATAATTCAAAAAGAGTAAAATAAGTGTTGGTGAGGATGTGTCAAAATGGGAACCCTCGTACGACCATGGTGGAATGTAAAATGGTACAGCTGCTGAGGAAACGTTTGGTGGTTCCTCAGGAAGTTCAAGAGAACTAGCACACGACCCAGTAATTCTACTCCATGGTATATGCACTCAAGAATTGAAAAACAGGGACACAAACATTCATAGCAGCACTATTCACAATAACTAATGGTAGAACGAATCCACATGTTCACATCAACAGAGTGAATGGGTAACTGAGTATACACACTTAATTGAAACTTATCCTGCTATAGAAAGGAATTAAGTACTGATACATGTATAATGTGGATAATCCTCAAGGAATGTGTTCAATGAAGAAACCAAACACAAGTCAAACATTTTGTGTGATTCCATTTATTTGAAGTATCCAGAATTGGCCAATCTATAGAAACAGAAAGCAGACTGGCGGTTCCCCGGGGGCAAGAGGGAGAAGGAAATGGGAAGAAAACTTATTTAATGTGCAGGGTTTTATTTTGGCATCATGAGACTATTTGGAAACTGGWTAGAAGTGGCAATAGAACATTGTGAATGCACTAAATACTACTTAATTGTTCACTTTAGATAATAATTCATGTAACAAAATTCATAATAATAGTGCTATTATGAATTTTGTTACATGAATTATACAATTAAAACCAAGCAAAAAGAGCCTTCAAACTCCTGGAAATTACCCTTCTTTCACTGGATGTTAGAATTCTCATCTGGTTTGGTTAGTATGYATAAAATGTAGAGAAATTAAGGGTGGCACTTCTATAAGGCAGTACTTTTCTGGGTCTGCCTTAGGCAATTTAGTGGACTATAGCACCATTTATGAAATAGAACATGCCAGCTAAAGGAAGATTGGGAGGTGAAATTCATTTTGTTTGGGACCCGTGTTTTGCAATCTGAGTGGAAACGACAAATCTTGAGTCTAGAATTCTGGGGAGAGGAAAGAGTCATCCCTGTGTTATCACAATTGTATTCTTGGATGTTTTGGAAGAAAGGGACTTTTCTTCTTTCAATATTTGTCAAGTAACAACAAAGATATGAAGAGAAGATACGTATTCTGATTTCACTGGTGGTCTAAGCATCTGAACACAGCTTAYAGGTGACCACATGATCTGACATTCTCAGCTATAACCTGATTTATGCCTGTTGTCCCCATTAAATTAATATCACTTGTTCATGCTCAAAAACATCTCCTCTGTACAGTAAATTATGTGGTCACTCTATGTAGAAGAGGAAAAATGAAATGTAATTCTTTCAGTATAGTGGCAGGTATACCAGGCTTAAAACATATCTTGGCAATTAAGGAATACCATACACAGGAATAAATTAACTAMYTACTTACTTTCAGAAATCCAAAACCTTATTTCAAATATAGTATGGGAGAATCTTTTGTTCTTAGGCCTCAAGCAAATAACCACATTTCCTTCCTTTCTCTTCCATTTTATGTGATCACAGACGTTCTCGCTTTTCTTTCCATGCAAACATGCGTTTTATGACATTGGAGAGAGTTGGCCATGTTTTCCTTAGTATCTCAGGAGAACAATAACATCTCCAAATCCTCAAATAGGGTACTGTTCTAGCTTACTCAAAAAGTCTTGTGCTAACTAGGAGTGAAGTAAAATTAAGTAACTGAAGATGTAATTCTAACTGCTGTGCAACACAAGCTTGTGATAATACTCTAATGTAACTTCTGCTTGCTTAACAAAATAAACCCAAGTCCAAGAAAATATGATTTAAGATTGACAAGCAAGTATAAAAAGATAGATTCCCACCCCCAAAAAAGAGACTTACAGAGTTTTAAAAAGCATATTTATGTGTCTGCACATAAATGTTTGTGTAAAAAGGGCATTATGACAGTTGATACCACAAAGATTACAGTAAGAAAAAGCACTTTATGACAATATTTCACAAATTCACAAGAATCACTTTAATATACAAAGCAATTGCTACCATTCTGAACACAAAGCAGCTACTATGTACATAGTGTTAATAAAATGCATTGTAACTCAGTACATTTTTTCTTTACACATAAAGCACAAAAAGATTTAGATAAAAAATTAAAACAGGGATGTTTTTAGAATGTAGGGAATCTTATATTTACTTAGTATTTAACTCCAATAGAAACATCAGAGCTAAAAATTGATACCCTGTTTTGTGCTGATAGTTTTTGGGGAGGTATTCTTTACACTAATCCTCAAGGAAAAAAAAAACAAAAAACCAAACACTCCAAATACCTTTCTAGGAACTTCCCTGGTTATTCTGTTTCTAAAAAGTTTCAAGGGATGCATCTGGGTTAGAAATAATTCCTTTTGCTGGACGGGGAAGGGAGGATTACAAGGGATGCATACAAATCGGTCAAGGACAACTTCACAATGGAAAATTGCTAACTAGCAYTCTTCTTTGCCACCCCTAATAAATCTATACTCACAGAAAAATGTTGACAAATTATTTCCCACTTTTAATATTTTATAAATAATTTTATTACATACACATTGGAGTGGCAACCTGGATAAAAATATGTCTATAAAGCATTTACCAATTCAATTTTTTAAAACGTAAGAAAATAAAACCTCCCAACACAATGGTAGATAATTTCGTGTGGTTAATTAACATTATCTACAGGGATTTTCTTCCTTCCCTACCAATTTTTAAACGATCTCAGATTTATTCTCACAGCTCTGAGATGCTCCTCAGACAGCTTAGAAAYGCCATGCTTCTACAGACACTTCAAAATTAATGCCTGTAAAAGCAGGCAAAATGTGAATTGCCTACTCTTTGACCCTTTTTAAAGATATTTCCTGTAGACTGTTCTTTTTCCTTTTACCTGCTGGTGAGAATAATTTAAAATGTATCATGTTTTATCCAGCTGGGATCTGCACCCCATAGTACAAGGATGCAGACAGGTCAATATTTTCTCTCTGTGCTAAACATTTCTGCCTGCTTATAATATCAACTTGCTTCACAGGCTTTTTTCTATTTTTTTTAATTTTTCTTTTTTTAAAAAATAAAATTTCAAGCTAAAACACCTGAAATATAATTCTTCTATTCAAATGTTATCTGGTCCCTCTTAAGTTTGTCTGCCCCCTGAGGACCCATACAAAGGCTTAAGCTACATTCACTCATCAGTAAGAACTTATCATAAGCAGATGAGACAGATGGAACTGCAGCACCCTGTTTGATTTGTATGAATTCTTCCATACTGACTCAACTTAATGATATGTTCAACCCCTCAAGGATTAATGCCTCTCCTAGCCATTGATTCTAGAATGTCAAGGAAACCAGTTCCTAATACATAGAGTGACTCTAGTCAACTGAAAACCCAATATTATTAATATTAACAATATTCAAGATGTAAGCCACCCAATAAAAAGTTCTAGTTGTTCTTTGTACAACTGAGTGAACAAATTCATTTCATAATTTTTTACCTAAAGGCTTACTCTTAAAGCACACTTCATACTTCCCCCTTCTTATCTGAAATTCAAATTTAGGTAGCATTTGAATGTTAACAAAGCCAATTTAAAAATAAGAATAATTTAGTAAAAATGATTACTACATTGTGGTCTCCCATAATAATACTTAATTGCTTTAAAAATATTTTACTATTCTGAAAAATGAATTATTTTGGCAAACTACACATGATATTAATGTTGGGGTGAGTATAAAGTTACTCAAAATTAGAAACAAATATTGTTCTTTTATTTTCCCTTCAGTCTTTATCCATGATGAAAAAAACTTATGTTTGAGTCCCTTTTTTTAAACTGGGATAATCAAACAGAATTTCCATATATTTTGCTTTCACAACATTTTTAAGGCAAGCTTTTAGGTGCTAAATGTTTTAATTAATGAAAAGCTTCCATTTAAGAACATCACATGATTTGGAGAGAAGAGAAAGACTAAAAAGTCAATTGATGATGGATGAGGAAATTTCTTAAGTTGCTGATACCCAAACTGGGTCTTTTTTAAAAGTGCAAGTTACACCAACCATTTACAAAGAATTAATGTAAATATAATCCAAATAAATATACAACTTTTGTTTTAGGTCAATGGGAAATAATGTAGCAACAGTTTTCTGGGTTACAAAAGCAACAAAATTGGGAAGAAATGAAAAGGTATATAATTACTGTTTCTACTACATGAGTAAGTCCTGCAAAATGAAGCAGCTTTTGATAAACAGAGGCCAATTTGTTAATTAGCTGACTATAGTTGATCACAGAATTAAAAACTTCATTAAACATTAGAAGAAATCTAGATTGAAGTCACTTCAAGTAAGTAAGAGCATCCTGGTTTATACAGCCTTGTTTTTTCCTAAGCCTTTGTATGATTCCACCTGTCACAAATGGTCAAACAGTAGGGATTAGTCCCAAGACAAACTTTGGCCAGATGACTTCCGATCAGATAGCCTGCTTGATTGGTATTGTGCTTTCAGATACTAGCACTGTTGCTGACCTACTGCCAATACACATTTTCTGACAAAATCCCTGCTCAAATAAAACAATAAAATTCCTCCCCCAGGATGATTTTTGAAAATCAGTGGTTTCTTTTAAAAGCTATCTTCAAAGTGTTCTTACCACTGTTAATAGCTGCCAGAGACAAAGCAGGAGAAAAAAAAAAAAAATTTGGGGGGAGAGGGGAGTACTTTTCAAGTGACTAGTAGCAAAGAAAACTAATTAAAAAATAAAATACTTGGAAGAAAATTAGAAGATAAAATCAATCATTGAGTGCCAGAGTAATGCAGTCATAGAAACTATCAGAAGGGATGCAATAGGACACACAAAAATGTAAAATTTCATCTGACCTCAATATACTATAATACTCAGCATTCCTGACTTAAGAGCTCTCAGAGCTTTAGATTATATACTGTATGTATATATATATATATATGTACACATATATTATACAAATGCCATTTCTTCACCCCCCCCCATATCTAAACAAACAGAGCACCTATGACAATATTATGGTTGCCAATATGGTACTTGAGTTTGAAAAAGAATGAACTTAAAATTGCATCTCATGATAATGTGAGCACATTGGATCTAGCCCTTTCTAAGCCACTTTTCAGTTAAATGCTATCAAAGCATGAAAACTCATGAGTAATATATCAAAAATAAACCCCTCCCCAATCATTTTTATTAGTTAATCTGTCCTATAGATAAAAGTGCCACATGGCCCTATATTTGCAAAGTGAGCAGTACCAAACTTGCTATTTTCTAGGCAAATCAGTAGCATATGTACAGATTCCTATGATATTTTCATTCCCTTTTGGCCAATATGAAGAGAAAAACATTTATTACTGGTTATGTGGCCACATATATTCTTGGTACAAGATTTTTTTTTATTATGTCATTTTCTTAATAAAGATTCTCAAAGTTACAAGCTTAAAAACACACTTTTTTCCTTATTCTCATATTAAAAAAAAAAAAAGCCTGCACAAAAGATGCTTGATTTCTGTCTGTATAAACTGAAATCTTCAAGTCTCTCCAAGAGTCTAAAACAGATTTAGCAACACAATACATTTCTCACCTCATTATTAAGTAACTGACTTCAAACCAGTGCAATCATACTCAAGGTACAGAGAACAGGTCTTTATAACTTATAAATGCACCCAGGTAATATGAATGTGATTGCCTTAATTTATCAGGGACCAAGAGGACCACCAACTTCCTAGTTAAGTAGAAAGCCGCAACTTTTGAAAACATGGACAATTTTAGAGATTACAACTTGCTACACACCAATTTTTCACTTATAAAAGACATTCAATATGTTCAATTTGACATTCTGACTAAATGTGAAATAATTCCAGTTTGTGAACATATTTGTGATTTTTGCTTGGTTTCTGTTAACACCAAGGTTAGAAAATGATATCTATGCTGGTATACAAACAATTTTTATGCTATCATTTTCCCCATAAGCTCAGCAGGACAAACATCAAACTTTACAGCCGTTTGAAAGCCTTCTTGAGAATCTGGTGAACTGTCCAAATATAAAGACTACATCACTCAATTCTTAGAATGATGCTCCTTCACAAACTCTGTTCATCCTTGAAAAAAGACAATGGTTTGTTACAAACAAAAATATAACATTTACAAATATTAAAAATCTTTTTTTAAAAAAATGGACCCAATAAACTAATACTAGTATCTGCACAATGTTATCATGATAAACAAATTTAACTTTCTTAAATAAACTATGACTAAATAGGAAACTAATTTTCTAAGTTGCTTGACTTTTTAAAAAGGAATTTCCTTCTCAAATAAAAAATCATAATCTAACATCACATCAGTCTCCAATTTAAAAAATCTACCTTGTTCTTATATTTTTCTTTTAAAGGGTAACTTTTAAATTTATCAAGCTTAGTGAATAAAATGAGTAATTAAAAATATTACTGGAAACAATGTATGATACATACAAATACAGACTGTTATAGCCAGAAATTAAAATAGGTAGCTCMTTTATAACTGACAAAGGCTATACAGCATATTGGAAACATAAAACATAACTACCCTTTTAAGAAGAAAACAAATGTTTTGTAAGAATGATAGTCCAAATATTATAGTACTGTAGATTCTGAGGAAAATTACTTTCCTTGTGCACATCTAACACTGTACTTCTTAGAACCATATCCTTATCACTTCTTCACTTAAAAAATTCACTAGAGGTTCTCTGATAAAAGTATGTGAATCTGGAAAAGATTTAAAAATCAGTATTTTTCTATAACACATAAATATACATCACTTTGTTTTCTTTAACATCTTGAAGGCTTTTCTGTTGGTGGTACAATGTAAGTGCAAGGGGCAGCAGCAAATTAGAAATATCTTTTTAAGTAAATGAGTGACAATATAAATATTTTTGAAGGCGAGGACGAAAACTTTTATTTAGAAACCTTGTTATATAACTCAAGGGATGGTTTACTAGCCGGCATCTTTTTACTAAGATTTAATACTAACTAAAATAAGCTTTGTACTTTTATTTACTTTGATTTAATTTAAAATTCAAATGACATGCTTTTTCGTTCAGTTGCTTACTTCTTTTAATGTATTCAAAAATGCTGAACACACCCAGAACTGGATTAAGAAGCAACAACTGCCCTAGGAAAGAGCTGTCRTTAAATACAGAATGTTTTTTTAAGAACCAAGGACAACTTTTCCGTACTGAAGAAAAGAACATACAGAGAAAGTACTCCGAATTCATTCCTAATTTCTTCAACACCATACTAAAATTCTTTTTTAGAGGGTGTATCTTTTAACAATTTTACATAATTTACAATGAAAATGTGAAAACATGTCAATTTGGCAATCAACACTTCCTCATTGCAACTTACTTACTTTATGCATGCGGCCCACACATTACTTCAGCTCAAGAGGCTGGGGAAATTCTGTCCCTAAGGCAATCAAGGAGCTCAGCACAAACCTTGAAATCATTTAAAATTGAAATCATTTAAAAAAAGATTTCATTTTCCTCATTTCCCCCATCAATTTACAAGTAAACAAATTATTACTTCTTGAGGAGGGTGGGAGTTGAAAAGCAGAAGTCTCTTCATGATTCCTGGCGCTGCAAATTTCTTGAGGGGAGAAGTGGAGGCAGGTGTCGGAACATTCACAGTTTAATGCAAAAGCACAAATGAATGAAATTCTGTAGTTGCTTTCAGGCAGTTTTGCGCATAGAAAAAAAGAAATGTTTAGAAAATAAAATGTTTATTTTTGTCTTTCTGGTTGTGGCCAATCCAGTCCATTTTCCACCTTAACAGGTGAAAATTTAAATCCCAAATTAATCTGATTTGTGGCAGTAAAGGTCCTTAAGTGCTTTTAGCTCCTCAATTAGTGTCTTGTTTTGATTTTCAAGCACTGCCACTCTGTTTTCTAAACATTTCACATATTCTTTCTTCTTTCTACGACACTCTCGTGCTGCTTCCCTACAAAGAAAAAAGAATGGGAAAAATTATACATGATTTTCATATCATTTATTTTAGATTGCTTTATTTTTAGAAAAACAGTTCAAAACATTTTAATGTGTATTAGGTGTCTGAAAGATACAAAATGACTTTGCAATTTCCTTATATCAAATTTTGATATTCTATATGGAAGGCTGATTAAAAAAACAAACATGAAAACTCCATAAGTAAAAGTTAAGTGATCACTTAAAAGCTGCATCTTAGTATTTATTAAAATGCCTATCATACCTGTAAACTTGACATTGTATCCATATCAGTAACAACTAAGATATACTGAAGCAAAATTCTTTAAATAGAAAATCTTATAAACTGATAATTTCAGGGCATTTAAAAAAATCTAACAGAGTCTCTTCAAGATGGAAAGACCTACAATGTTCATGGATAAGTATTAATATCATCAAACTGGCCATATTACCAAAAGCAATCTACAGATTACAGACTCCATTAGGTTCCCATCAAAATACCAATGATGAGGCTGGGTATAGTTCAGTTGGTAAAGTGCTCGCCTCAAATGCACAAGACCCTGTGTTCAATTCCCAGCACCACAAAAACCAAACAAACAAAAACAACAATGACACTGGAATCAACAGTTCTAAAATACATACGGAAGAATTAAAGACCCAGAATAGCCAAAGTAATCCTGTGCAACAACAGCAAAGCTGGATGAATCACAATACCTGATCTCAAATTATTCTATAGAGCTACAGTCATAAAAACAGCAAGGTACTGGCATAAAAACAGATCTAAAATCCTCATACAGTCATATGGTCCATGACAAAGATGCCAAAGCCATATGTTGGAGAAAAGATAGCCTTTTAAACAAATGGTGCTGGGAAAACTGATCTGAAGAAGAATGAAACTAGATCCCTCCCACCCTATACAAAAATCAACCCAGCGTATCAAGGAAAGACCTAGGGAGTACACCAGAAACAATGGAAATGCTAGAACTCCAACATACTTATTTTGTAAGTGCTGATTAATGAAACTCCTAACGCTTCAGAAATAAAACCAAGAATTAATAAGTGGGATGGCACTAAAATAAAAGCTTCTGCACAGCAAAGGAAAGAATAGCATGAAGAGAGAGCCTACAGAATAAAAGATAATCTGCCAGGTACTCTCCTGATAGGGGATTATTACTTAGAATAAATATACAAAGAACTAAAAGAAACTTAACCAGACAAACTAATAAACAAATGGACAAAATATCTAAAAAGGCACTTCTCAAAAGAAAAAAAAAATACAAATGGCTAACAAATATATGAAAAAATGGTCAATCTCCTTACCAATCAGGAAGATGCAAATCAAAACTACTGAGATTTCATCTCTCCAGTTAGAATTGTAATCATTAAGAATACAAATAACAATTGCTGGTGAGGATGCAGAGGGAAGGTACACTTATACATTGTTGGTGGGACTGCAAAAAATTATTGAAAGCACTTTGGAGATTCCTCAAAAGACTGGAAATGAAATCACCATATCAGGCAGGTATCCTACTCCTTGGTTATCTATCCAAAAAACCTAAAGTCAACATATTACAGTGATACATGCACACCAATGCTTATAGAAGCACAATTCAAAATAGCCATGGAACAAGCCTAGCAGATGAATGGATACGGAAAATGTGGTACATACATACAATGGAGTTTTACTCAGCCATAAAAAAAAATAAACAATGTCATTTACAGGAAAATGTATGGAGCTGGAGAACATCATGCTGTGTGAAGTAAACCAGACCCAGTCAAGGGTCCAATGTTTTCTCTCATATGGGAAAGCTAGAAAGAAAAAAGTAATTAAAAAAAAGGATTTCTTGAAAATATAAGGGAGATCAATAAAGCAAGGGTGGGGGACAAAGGTGGAGGGAAAAGGGGAAGAACTGGGGAGGTAGACTAAATTATGCTATGTGCATGTAGGAATATATCATAATTCCTTCCACTTTTATATAACTATAATGCACCAATTAAAAATAAAACAGAAGGAAGATCAATGAAGTAGAGGAGGGGGATTAGGGGAGGAAGGAGAGGAGGGAAAAGGGAAGTACTGGTGACTGAAATGCAGTAAAACATGCTAAAGCATTTATGAATATGTCAAAATGAACTCTGCTATTATATATAACTGTGTTATGGTTTAGATWTGAGGTGTCCCCCAAAAACTCATGGGTAAGACAATGCAAGAATGTTCAGAGGCAAAGCAATTAGATTACGAGAGCTGTAGCCTAATCGGTAACTGTAGGCAAGTAGGGTGTAACTAGAGGAAATGGGTCACTGGAGATATGCCTTTGGGATTTATATTTTGTCCCGGGTAAGCAAGTTCTCTCTCTGCTTCCTGCCTGTTATGGCCTGAACAGTTTTCCTCTGCCGTGCCCTTCTGCTATGGGGAGTGGTCTCACCTTGAGCCCACGGTTATGGAGTCAGCTGACCATGGAAAATACACTTTCATTTGAAAGTGTTTGCAGAGCTTCCACAGAACTTGGAGTTGATTGGAATCTCAGCAAATATTTTTTCACCCGATCTTGTTGATACTTGGCAGGAAAGATGGGTATACCAGTTACCCTTGGCTGCCCAAATTTCATTCTTCTAGGTTGAAGCGTTCATTGGYAAGAACTCTTTGAATTTTGAACCTTCCAGGTTCTTACTGGATATATTGGTTATAGCTATAAAAACTATAATGCACTAATAAAAATGTTAAAAAAAAAGAACATCTCTTCCATAAGTGATGTTGGGAAAACTGGTTATCAACATGTAAAAAGAATGAGATTCTTCCCCTACCTTATACAAAAATAACACAAAATGTACCAAAGACTTAAACTTAACACCTAAAACTATAAGACTTCTAGGGGAAAACCTTTCTGAAATTGGACTTGTCAGTGATTTCTTAGATATGACATTGAAAGCATAAGCAAAAAATTCTGTACCTATAAACACACAAAACAATGAAAAGGCAACCTATGAACTGAAATAAAATATTTACAAATCATGTATTTGATGCGGGAATAATACCCATAATATATAAAGAACTTCCACAACTCAACAACAAAATAACTAGATTAAAAAATGGGCTTAGGCCATAGTAACAAAAAAGGCATGTGGGCACCAAAAGAGGTGGTAGACCAATGGTACAGAATAGAATAGGGCATGGAAGAGGAAAACTGTTCAGGCCATAACAGGCAGGAAGCAGAGACAAACCCATACAAATACAGTTATCTCATACTAGACAAAGGCACCAAAACCATACACTGGAGAAAAGATAGCCGCTTCAACAAATGGTGTTGGGAAAACTGAAAATCCAAATGTAGCAAAATGAAATCAAACCCCTATCTCTCATCCTGCACAAAGACTTAAGACTCTAGAACAGAGACCCTGCCCCTAATAGAAGAAAAAGTAGGCCCAAATCTTGTCAGTTTAGGAACTGACTTCCTTAACAAGACCCCTAAAGAACAAGAAATAAAATAAAAAATCAATAATGGGATGAAATCAAACTAAAAATCATCTTCACAACAAAGGAAACAATGAAGAGAGAGCCTACAGAATGAGAGAAAACCTTTACACATGTACCTCTAATAGAGCATTAATCTCCAAGATGTTATCAGAAGAAATATAATCAATCAACAAATATATTAAAAAATGTTCAACATCTTTAGTAATGGCAATTATCAATAATAGAAACAACAATACAAGTTGGTGAGGACGTGGGGAAAAAGGTACACTCACACATGCTKGTGGGGCTGCAAACTGGTGCAACCACTACAGAAAGCAGTATGGAGGTTCCTCAGAAAACTTGGAATGGAACCACCATTCAACCCAGTCATTCCACTCCTCAGTTTATACCCAAAGGACTTAAAGTCAGCATATAATGACACAGCCACATCAATGTTTATAGCAGCTCAATTCACAATAGAGAACTATGGAACCAACACAGTGTTCTTCAACAGATGAATGGATAAAGAAAATGTGGTATATATACACAGTGGAATATTAGCCATAAAGGAGAACGAAATTATGACATTTACCAGTAAATGGATGGAACTGGAGAACATAATGCTAAGCAAAATAAGCCAATCCCCCAAAATCAAAGGCTGAATGTTTTCTCTGATATGTAGATGCTAATTCACAATAAGGCGGGGTGGAATGGTGATGGAGAAGAATAGAGGTACTTTGGATTAGACAGAAGGGAGTRAAAGGAGGAGAGGGTATATGTGGATAGAAGGATAGTAGAATCAACTGGACATTTTTACCCTATGTGCATATATGGATTACACAGAACTGGTGTAACTCCTCCACATCATGTATAACGTTAGAATGAGAAGTTATACTCCATTTATATAAGATGTGTCAAAATGCACTCTATTGTCATGTGTTATTAATTAGACCAAATAAAAACATAAAATAAAAAATGGGCTTAGGACTTGAATAGATATTTCTCCAATGCAGGTAAACAAATGGCCAATAAACATGAAAAGATGTTCAACATCAACTAATCTATAGGGATATGCAAATCAAAACCACAATTACCTCACAGACATTAGGATGGCTATCATCAAAGACAACTACCACTTCTTTCCACCATCTGAAAACACCTATTGTGGACTTGAAAAAACTGGAATACTTTTGGACTTTTGTTGGGAATGTAAAACAGGAGAGCTGCTATGAAGAGGGTTTCTTGAAAATTACAAAAAGAATGTGTCATGTGATTCAGCAATTCCACTTCYGACTATCTGTTGCATATATGAGAATATACCTAACCCTACTTAATTATACACTTAAAAATAGGATGTTAAATTCTTTATCATGTTATATATTTTTAACCACAATTAAAAATTATTTAAAAATCTAATAGACTGACAAGAAAACTATTATTTAATAAACTGATAACCATAAACTAGTAAACTCTTTTTTAGCTCTATGTGGTCAAAGGCCCTCTTATTTTTTATATCCTYAGTCTAGTAGGATGAGTAAAAGATAGGT